AAGGAAAGCCAATCCTCAGGAAGATTCTCATGAGACACGTGGCAAAGCCCCAATGGTGCACTTAATGATTGACAGCAAATCCAATATTCCATTTCCTGATAAGAGATAAGCACATTTATCTCCTACCTTTTAGGATCTTGGGATCTCCCCCATAAATAGAGATCCTCCTCGTATTGAAATTCATTCAACATCTAGCACTCGAGCATTCTTTCGCTTTGACTCCTTACCCCAACACCCTTAGCCCGAAAACCAATCTCCCTATTTCCCAGCCTTTCTCTGTCTTTCAAAGAGACCATTCCCCATCCAAGCCTTACCCAACCTACACTAGTACCTGTCATGCATTAACTAACCATTAAGTGACATTTGAAAAGACACAAATGCCCTTTGTCTGTCATCTAATTTTCTTTATCAATCATTCACATATTGATAAAAAATGAATAGTCTCAAATCCTTGCCTCTTCTATTTAAGAAAATTGGGGTTATGTCTCAGTGAGCATTCTGGTGACCCCAACTTTCTTGAATAGAAGAGGCAAGGATTTGGGATTGTTCATTTTTTGTCAACGTTTAGATGGTTGATAAAGAGAATTAGATGACACTTGAAGGGTATTTATGTCTTTTCAAATGGTACTTAATGGCTGGTTAATGGCAGATACTATATTGACATGTTTTGAAAGTTTGGGTACTAAATTGTTGAGTTTTAAGGTTCAGGGACCAAAGTGACACTAGACCCAAAGTATAGGGTACTAATTAGGAATTTCCCAATATTCTATTAAAGATAAATTCATTTTTTCATTTTTTTGTTAATTTTATACTTCTTAATATTATTTTGATTATTCTTTATTTCTATTTTCATATTTATTCAAAAAATTATAAGGTTAATTATGTTATATAGAGCAAAATGTTAGGTAGTTAAGAAACAATATGTCTAAAAAATATGTGATAAAAGGGATAAGGTTACAAATGAAGTCCTATGGAGGAACATAGGAAAAGTTTTAATAGTTGACATTTTCAAGAAAAGTCGCATGTGATGTCATGTGATACAAATAACTGACGGTTGGTAACAATAGGGTACTAAGTTGACACGTTTTGAAAATTTAGATAATGGATTTGCAGGTTTTGAAGTTAGGAGACCAAAATGAGATTAGGCCAAAAAATAAAGGGTATTAATATGTAATTTTCCCTAAAAAATATGTTCTTTTTGTCTTCAATGGTACAGTATTTTATATAAATTCGAGATATATTTAAAATTTTCAAAATAAAAAAGTAATAACAAGTTTTCCTTTTTTCTAAATACCGTAAAGAACTTTTGGTAATTTTACCAAAAGAATTCGATATAAGGTTTTTTTGCATCCGATAGGGGCAAAGTGCTCCACCTAGCGTAAAAACTGACCAATTTTACACAATGCGTTTTAAATGGGAATTCACATATGCGCCCCAAAACATATCCCACCAACCGAGTCTGGATTTCCTGCACTTGGTTATGTGTGTGCTGTGGTGCACTTCCAATTACATCGAAACATGTCAGACTTTGCATGGTATCCCAGGTCACATGTGCAAGTCATTTAATGGGACCATTTGCATTTTTTAAGGGTAAATTTCTTAAACTACCCTTATGGTTTAGCTAATTGACTAAGTGTACCCTTACTGTTTGAAAATTGACTAACCCTCCCCCTACTGTTTATGACAATTGACTAACTCTACCTTTACCATTAAGGTCCATTAATATTCCATCAAAATTCATTTGCATGTGATATATAATTTTTTTTAAATCCAATTTTACCCTCCACCTCTCTCAACAAAAGATTTAACCTCAAAGATTGAAAGACCGAGATCGTTGATTATATCGACTTGTGTCAGAGAAGAATACTGGCCTGGAAAAAAGATGTAGAAACTCTGTCGGGATTTATCACCGCACTGAGAACAAGACAAATTAATGCCACTGCAACAAAGAGAACCATACTCGTTAGTATGCGGTGAGCAAGAGACCCGGAATCCACATTTGGAAGTCTGGCGGCACAATTTCCGTCGCTGGCATCCTCACCTCTAGCGCGTGGATTAATGTTCATCCTTTAATTAAACCAAATCAACCCTGTCATTCTACAATCAAAACCGTAATATGAACAACTTCTAAGCATATAAAACATTAAACCAAATAAAAAAATGATCTGGAAAGCCTAACACTGATGACTTTGTTAAATGTAGAAAATTGCATAAACCAATGTAATATAGAACAGAGAAGACCCTAGAAACTTCTTCCGCTTTTCAAGAACTTTATCTGCTGTAGGTCCCTTGCTACAGAGCAAGATATGCTGAAACTTCTTACACGCTTCTAATAGTAATAGAACAGAGAAAGCCCAAGAAATTTCTTCCGCTTTTCAAGAATTTATCTATTGTAGGTCCCTTGCTACAGAGCAAGATATGCCCAAACTTCTTATTTGCTTCAAGAGTTCATTTCAAGAGATTTTTTCTGAAAGGCCATCGTCGCTTGGCTTGAGTGGATGGTCCTGGTGATTCAAGTTCAATCCTTGCAAAATCGAGGAAGAATGCATTGGTGCCACTGGGAATGTTGATTGGGTTTGTTTCCCAAACCTATCTCGCACTCGATGGAGATGAAGATCTCGGTAGCAATATCGTTTGATTTCTGCCTAGTAGCTAGAACCAAAACATGGGCATTCCCACAACATTCTCAGCAATAGGTTTGGAATATTCAAACCCAAATCGCCGCCAATCAGGTACTCACCATCGGAGATCTCAGTATGCCATTGATCAACTCCTCGTCTCCTTTGCCATCTGCAACGCCAAACATTTAGGTCCCTTCGTAAGTAAAGCATTCACCTTTGGAAAACCTGTAACTCTCCTCCACCACCTACGTCACATATCGCATACTCTGCTGATACGATTCCACTTAGTAATGCCGTTGGATTTGGATTAGATCAGGCGTATTCCTTGATTAGATCTCCTATCTTCCTTCCCACCACCACCGCCACCACCGGGGGGCAAATGGTTGTCGGCCACCTTCTCCTCCCCACTCACTTCCATGTTCGCCAATACTATTCCCAATCCACACCCATCACGTACAACCACACCCTTCTCAACTAGGGCGTTAGTCCCTCAATCACAAACCACCTTCCCACAAATTCATTATTATTCAAGTAAACTGGCGAACAAGCATAAATTGCTCGATTTAGTAAATATTTTTGATATTATTTTCAAATTTTGAAAAAGAATAAAGGGTAAAATTGTATTTTTTGTGTTTCTCTTAGCCGATCCTAACGGTAAGGGAAGTGTTAGTTAATTGTCGGAAATAGTAGAGGTAGCAGTAGTCAATTTTTAAACAGTAGGGATACACTTAGTCAATTAGCTAAACCATAAGGGTAGTTTAAAAAATTTACCCTTTTTTTAATATCTCAATTTTTTCAAACTAAAAATTTAAAAGAAAGAATACAAATAGATACTTTGATCGCCCAGCTCGACAGATGATAAAAAATATAGAGAAAACTGTTCAGACCTAGCCCTTCCATGGAGCAGATGCCACTAACGAACGATTGCAGGGGAAAAAAATCTGGTGTTGAATTGTTTATACTGAAGTGCTAGCATAGCTCCTCCATGGTAAACTTGCTTTCTCTAAGTCAATGTTCAGTGTTTCTTATTCTCCAAATGAGAAATGAAGCAACAAACCGGCAAATCTTGTTGTTTTGATGACTTTATAGTGTATACTCTATCCAATTGATTGCGGTAAAGACTCAGAAATCTTCAAGTTGAGATAAGTTCAAAAGCAAAATTAGTAGACGTTAATTACTCTGTCACATGCTTCCTAATTTGTGAAGTCTCCATTGTCTTTCTGTTCATGATTTTTTTCTCAATACCATCATTAGAAAATAAAGTTGACATTTTATAAATTTGACTTAAAAAGGGAGTCATTACCGAATCCAGTTCATAATGGGTTGCAAGTGTTTTGAAAAAAAGCAGAGTACTCAAGTGAATAAGAAACGATGGGCACTTGAAACAATTTCTTGCAAATGACTTCCACCCTTCTTTGGTCTGCAATCGTTTATTAATGCATCGGCACCAGGTTAGAGCTGGTTTGGTTTGCAACAGTTTTCTTTGTTTTCGTTTTTCAATACTCATCAGTCAAGATTTCATATGCTTCACCAATCCCTTGATAGTTTTCTATAGCAATGTCTTCATCTGTGGAGATCGGCATTCATGGAGTGATAGATTTGTGCCCATTGACAATAAACTTTCTATTTTCTTCATCCCATGTTTCATGAGATTTGTAGAGTGTATATCTCTCTATTTGGAGTTTTAATTTTTCCTTCATTCTCTGCTAAACGAAGAAAAATGGATTAGGGTTTTATAGACAATATTAAAGTTTGTCATGGAATAGCCTTGCGGTTGCGGAAAGTTTTCACCCTTTCTTTTATTTTCTAAATATTATTAAAAAAACTAATAGAGGTAAACTGGCCGTTTAAATGGCTCACATATTTGAGTTGGAGTACTATCCAAATTCTAACGTGTCCCAATTTGACTAGGAGTGCACCCTTCCACACACAAAACCAGATGAAGGAAATCCCGTGCTCCAGGAGATATTTCTAATATACGCTGAGATGTGCATGTTAGGTGTTTGTGCGGTGCCCTGATTAGGGCGCTTTAAATGGTAAGCAAATGAGACCTATATACGGAAAGGACGCCCTGATTAGGGCACTTTAAATGGTAAGCAAATGGACCTATACATGGAAAGCAGGAATGTTTCAAAGCGTTTTGATATAACCAGGAGCCCTATTGCAAAAGCTATCAACCGTCCGATTCTGTGATTATAACTGCTGTTAGGCGCTTTCATGAGTGGGCTGCCCCGCTTCCCCACTTGCAGTGGGTCCCGCTTAGATGATGTAACAGTAACACACTGACACTCTAACCTTTCCGACTATAATAAATTTAGTAATCGTGGCCTATATAAAAGGCCCACTGGCCCAGCCCACTATATCTCCAGTTATTAACAGTCGAACAGTGAAGCAGTGATTAAAGCATTTTCATTCTTCAATTTTCAGAGAGGAGTCACAGTCTCACAGAGCAAGTACAAAGAAGAAAAATAATCGTCAATTCGTCATGGCAATTGCTAACGCTTACTTCTCGTCTCTAACTCTGCTTCGATCCAGAGGTTTCGAACTTGGCTTCAATTCTCAAATCTGCCTCCTTGAGGCCTCTAAAGTCTCTGCTATTCGCCGGGGATCTGTCGAATCTAGAATTGGTTTCACCAGGAAGAGGTGAGGTCAATTAAAAATTCCTTCTGTTCCTTTCATGCTTTTCTCGATTTTTCACATGAGCTATTGATTCTAGATTCCTCTAGGGTTTATGCTTTGCTCGTTCTGTCTACTAGTGATTTTGGTTGGTGGAGCTACTAGTTGCGGAGTCTTCTTTAGATAATTGATGCCTTTGGTTTCATTATATCTTTCTTATTTTTATTCATTTTTTGTACAGTTAATACCTGGATTATTTTTCTTTTTTTTTTCCTTTCTTCTTTTTGTATCCATTATCCAATTATTATTTAGTTTGTTTTTCTAATTGAAAGGATTTTTTTCTCCTATCAAGTAATAAATGTTTGTGAAGATACGGTGTTTCCATTGATAAGTATTGTTTAATATCCTCTGCAGGAACATTCTGCAAGCTTCTGTCAATTCTACAAGTACATTAGGCTCGTCCTCTTCGGTCAGTGGCACTTCTCATGTTTATTAAGTTTTATTAGTAATTTTTATTTTTTATCGCCTTTGCAAATTGTAATTTGTGTTTTTCAAAGGTTCAGGGAAGAGGGAACAGAATAGTTTTGACGAACCCGTTTCTCCTGAGAAATAACTTCTGGTTAGATTCTGTAATTAGTACAATACCTTGTCAAATGCCTTTCAATACTAGGCTTTTGCCTTTTATTTCCTAGACTGGTATCTTATGAATACCTAAGAAAGAGAAACCTTAATATTGAATAATTTTACAATTAATGTCTTGTGTGGCCAACGTTTTTATTGCTATGTGGGTTGTTATGGTTAAATGCCACTGTTATATTCTGGCCTGGTAAAAGGTCACTGTTATTACTTCATCTATAGTCTAAAAATGAAGGGTACTTTTACTCTATTGGCTAAGAAAAAATGGTTGTAGGCTCCAACAAATGTCCACTTTTCTGTTGCACGTTTAGAATAAGATTGTTATAGAATGATTTTCAACTCAACAAAACTCAACTAAGCCTTGTCCAACTATCTGGGGTCAGCTACATGAATCCTGTTCTGCAATTCCACTCTGTTCAGTACCATATCCATTGTTAAATTATGGGTCCTCAAATCATTTCTCATTACTTCAACCAATATCCTTCTGGGTCTGCCTTTAGCTCTTCTAGATCCTTATTCCTTCAACTTGTAAATTTGTTTAAGAGTTAGATTGATAAATACTAACAGAAAATTTGCTTCAGTAGCAGTAGTTAGTGCTCAACTATGCTGCTTGGTTGCCTTATTTCAACTATCTTTCTTTTCTCTTTAGTTTGTGAGTTAATAGCCTGGATATCAGTGTGAGTTTCTAACAGAACTTGTAAAGTCTTATGCACAAATGGGTATTCATGGTCTATAGTTGATCCTTTTTGTTATTAATTCAGTACTTTGCTTTGTAAAAAAGAATATCAGTGTAAGTTGCAAATGAGTCAGTTTGAATTGTCACTCTTACTGGAGTTTACAACAGAAACTTGTGAATCGAAGAAATAGCTATGTTGAGTGCCAAGGCTGTCTATCTTGTTCTGGCACACTTCACAAGTGAGGTTGTCTTGTTCCTACTAGCTAGTATCTAATCCCATCTTCAGTTGTTGATTCCAATGCTCTTATGATCTGATGCTGAGCATGCTGATATGTTGAATCTGGTCATCCATGAACTAAGAAAGCTTATTTTTAAACAACATTTATTGCTATCATTTTTTTCAATGAAAATTGCAATTTTGCTAAATTTTATCAGGAAATAATCTTCATCCTTTTTGTTTGCTTTTTTTTTTCTCTTTAACCCCTTACTGCTTGGTGATTACTTCACCTGAGAAAACTGAATGAAATTCTTTCTTTCTTTCTTTCTTTTTTTCTCATGTCCTATGCAATTAGCACTAACAGATTTTGCAGAATATGCAAAAAGAAAAACAGGTTTTACCAATATTATATTGTTTTTAATCAGTAACTGGTTGTTTTATTGATTGAATAAAAGAATGGAGTATATACAAGTGTGTGATGAACACCCCTAATAATAGGCTAGCTAGTGTTACCCACCCCCTATTCTATTCTTCCTCAAAGGTTACTTTTGCCAATATTATATATTTAATTACCTCAACTTTGACATGTTATTCCAATGGCAGAAATATGATCGGGATGCTGATACTGTTCCCATGCCAATAGTTTTGATAGATCAAGATTCTGACTCTGATGCAACAATTGTACAAGTTAGCTTTGGAGATCGCCTTGGAGCTCTTATTGACACGGTGAAGTGTCCTTTCAAATTCTTTCCTTTGTCCCTTTGCATTTAATAGTAAAATTGGTCTTAGTAAACAGTCTTTTTTTTTCCTAGTGAAACTTAAAATGCCTGCTTTATTACACTCTTGCAATTAAGAGTCCTATCTGTGGCAGTTTAGGTTGTGATCCAAAAGGGCTATGAACCCTTTGACATTATCCTCTTTCCACAGGCAAGTTTCAACCAAATAGCCCTATGCCTAATTTCTACAAGCTTATTCTTTACAGTCATTGTCAGAATCTTTAAGGGCTATCACTGGAAAATGGAATACATTTTACTTATCAAAAGAAAAAAAAAAGGAATGCATTATGGTCTATGTGGATGACTTGAACAAGGGCACTTCATAGATGGCTAATCCTGAGGTTTGTCTATAAGCCGAACTGTTCGTATATACCATATTGAAATTCTTAGCAAAAAATATTTTTGTGAAACTTAAATTAGGTTTTTAACTATGTTGCAAGGAAAGAATTGTGCAAGTATTTCTAGCCTATATTTATTTCTTAGTGTAACATGCTAAACTTTATTGTCAACATACCCACTATTAAGCATCTGAAACTTGAAACACTCAAAACACCTAGGAAACATTCAGCAGTAAATGGTTTAGTGTGTTTATCCTCTAGCTACAAACTCCACATTATATTATTGATGGGATGGAGAAGGTACACTTTTCTAAAGCTTCAACTTCTGTTCATGTTACTGCAGATGAAAGCCCTTAAAGATTTGGGCTTGGATGTGACAAAGGGAACTGTCACAACTGAGGGAACAGTCATACAGACAAAATTTTTCATCACAAAATTGTCAGTACTCTCTCTCTCTCTACCCAAAAATTATAATGCAGTACAAGAACCTTTTTTATGTGATAGTTGATAGATTCTCTATGGACAGCAGAATTTAGAAAGATGGATGAAGCTACGACAAATATTTTAGTAGTGGAAACTTTTGTAATTTGGAAAACCCCCTGTCTTTCTTGATGGACAGCAGATTAGCTGAATTTGATAGCTGTTATATGGGCTGTGGGACCAATCATTTTTCTCCACACCAGCCATAAATGCAAGTGAGTGATTGAGTGAGCAAAATGATTGGTCCCACAGCCAGTAATACAGCTATCAAATTCAGATAATCCTTACTCCTCCTGATGATCCTTGTCCATGGAAACTACTGAAAGGCAATGTTGACTTTCATGATTTACAATCCATGCAATTAATTTCAGACTGTTTGTACAGCATATGTAAAGAGTCAAAGAGAAAAAGGAGGAAAGATGGCTCTTTCCATACATTAGCAGCAAGTAAATGACTCCTTAACTCCATGTTTAAGTGGTGGATCTTCAATTGAGGAAATCTACTTACTAGATTTTATTATTGGGTAATGTTTCACCAGATTGTGACATAGAATACCCTCATCTCACTTGAGTTGCAATGCAATGATTTTTCTTTCACTTATTACTACAGATTTGCACACAATTATGCAAACTGCGAAGCTGTGTATATATGATGGGGCAAAGAGGGGAGCAAAGATTAATGACTTAATTCAAATTTGACCATGTGAATTTGTCTTCTTGTCCCTTCTCTTTTTGTACAGATTTTAGTATTTCTGTTGTGGGGTTCTCTCCCTCCTATTAACACAAATATGTGCACTACACTAATTAAAAAGAAGTGTTTGAAGTAGCAATTTATAAAAAATCCAGTTACTTTTGCCATTTTTTTTTGAATTGGATGCGTTTTTTTATCTTCTGATTAATGGAGTGGTTGCCTATATGATGCAAGAAAGTGTTCAGTGCATCAAATTTGAAGTTAGTTACTTGCCAATATTTTGTTTCCCTTCTTTCCCTACCCAACCTGTAAACATATGGCACTTTTTCTTTTCAATAACAATCTAGGGCCACTGGACGCAAGGTTGAAGATCCTGACATGTTAGAGAGAATAAGGCTTACCATCATCAACAACCTTCTGAAGTATCACCCTGTATGTTTGTGGGTTTTGACATGCTCGTTTTATTGAAATTTTCATATCATCTATGGGATTATTTTCTTCAAGTTCTCATATTCTTGCAGGAATCTAGTGAAAAGCTTGCTATGGGTGAGGCTTTTGGAATAAAAGCACCAGAAAAGAAGGTCATACGATTAATGACAAGATTACTTTTTTTTTTCATCTATCTCCCTACTTCGCTTGGCTTTATGATCTGCTAAATGTTGGATTTTCTTTTCTTATTTCAATTTATTTTTTCTTTCCTGAATGAATAAAGCTGCTCAGTTTATTATGTTTTTTGGATTTCAATTTATTTTCTCTTTTCTTATTTCAATTTAGGATCGTTGTTGGTTCGTTCTAATTCCATGAAGACCATGACTGCTTTCTCCTCAAAAAACTGATCTGGTACTATTTCTTCCCCCTCTTTACAACCAACCCCAACGCCTCCATTTGAACTTAAATTTTCTTGAGCATTTTCTGACTTTGAATTAACACCATTCTCTTCCAGGCTTAAACTATTTTCCCCCTACCCTTCAAAGGCACACCAAACTTTTCTTCCAATTATTTAAATATTTTCCTAGCAAATCCTTCCCCTGCCCTCCACCCCCAAAGAAAAACAATCCCAGAGATTTACTTTGACTTTTGTGTCCACAACCTTCTCCAAATCAATTGCCCCTTCCATTAAATGAGTCTCATCCACAATCACCTCCTCGTTATATGAGTTTATACATTTATCCTCTACATTCTCGATCACAGCCTCTTCCTAATGGGTTTGTTCTATAATTTCTCTTTCTTTTATATACTTTTGGCACCGGATTCTCCCCTCCTAAACACTCTCCTCCTTCAACGCAAGTAATTTGCCCCTTCTCATCCTTGTTGATCTCCTTTTCCTTCTCACTTAGATCTGCCACCTGGGATTTCTATATTCAAGCTATCCACCCTCTTTTTCCCCCCTTCAGCATCTCCTACACCGACCAAAATGCCTATGAGACTATCACGAGCCCCTCCCAGCACTTTGAATTTATTACAATTTACCTTCAAAGAATCTTCAACCCTTGTATTTGTCTCTCGGTTCTCAATACTCACTTCAACAACATCCCCACCGCTATCTTCAACAAGGACTTGACACTCTGGATTGGCCTTCCTTACTTTTTCTTCTGTCCCCCACCCATGAAAAGCTTAGTTCCTTTCTGCTACACAACTCACCTTCATTCAATTGAGAAAGGGAGATGAGGTCATCTCTACATCTCCAGCTTTATCAAGATTAAACTAGTCTTTGATCCTTTGACAATGACTGAAGCATCACTTGTACCAACCTTTTGCTCCTTTGAATTCTGGAACTTGGTGGTAACTGATAACCCATACACAGTCTTCTTCCTTGCTGTCCCTCCTCTGCCTTACCCTTTTATTCGTCTTTGATCTCTTAAATGCTTTACCAAAATTTCCCCCAACTTTTTTTGCTTCAAAACATTTTATAAAAACCCATTTGTTTTATTTTCCTTTTCTTTACCAATGTGGGCCCCACATGAAGAATCAACCACCTCCTTGAAAGGGCCATGTGCCCCTTCACTTTTCCTTTACATTTTCCAATATCAAATGTGTCTCTATCTCTTGTTTTTTTGAGACAACCCTCAGACATGTGTTCACAACCAAGTTCAAGCGTCTTTCCACCTTTCTCCCAATTTACATCTTTGCCCCTCAAATCAATCATCTCATCATCTTCCTCAGAACTTCACCCTTTTGACTTCCCCTTGGATGTAGCAGCCATCTCCTGGAAAGACATCCTCCTCACTCGATTAACGGGATCTTCCCTTCTCATTTTCAAAACTGAATGGATTGGAGCTCTCAAGAAAGTTGGATCCTCCCTTTCAATTATCACTCTAAGGTCATAAACTTAACATGAAAATAAGAACTTGATCGAAATTTGAAACTGGAATTGAACATAAATTGCTCACCTCAATCAACAACCTCACACCACTAACTTTCTCCCAGTTCTGTTTCTGTCATCAAATTTCCAGTATCCTTCACAGTGATCAAGAACTCGCCTCAAGGTTCTTAACCAACCACTTTCAAAATATGTAAAGAAATTCCAGAGGCACCATTCCACACCACTCTTCTGCCTTGTGAGCTACAAAGCGCCCCAGGCTCCCAACTGCTGGAAACCAATAATTTAAATGCCTTACGATCAACTGCTGGAAACCGATAATTTAAATGCACCTTGCAATGGTCAACCCATTTTCTGATTTGCAACCAAGTCGTATGTGATTTGTGTCTCCTTTGCTAGCCATTTTAATTCCTTTATAACATCTCTGTATTGCCAAGATCCTTGTTCATTGTGCTTAAACCTGTTTACCACCACTCTCCCTATCCACTACTATGACCTTCTCTAAAGATCACCTAAGCTGGTAGGACCCATTGGAGCCTTGTGAGTCACGTTTGTGAAAAACACCCAATTTTACTAGAGAAGCTCCAAATTGCAAATCTGCCTCTTTTTTCTTCTTTTTATTCAAAGAGCCTCTTTGGATATCTCCCAGAAAAATCCAATCCAACACATATATTGGATATGTTCTAGTATATGCATGAGAAATGTGACAAGATGGTTCATGCAAATGACTCAGCTTCATGATGGTGTTCAACCAGTAGTAAGATTCTTAGTGAGACAGCAATATCATGCATTGTAACACCAGCCATGTTTTTTGAAAATCATACACAAGTTGTATATCTGGCAAGGTGGTTTTGGCTCAAAATATGGGTGGTATGAATTGAAGAGTAAAATGATATTTTATTAAATAAAAAGATAGATACAGATAATAAATGAGAAGATGGCACCTAGCTTACAAAACAAAACAAACTGATCTAAAAGCACAGGCTGAAGCAAAACTGAAACATGCTACAACTTACAACAATTGAAATTCTAGCACATTCCAGAAATTCTCCCCCAAGTCTGATCTGATGACTTGATCAAAATCTGGTAGTACCCAGACCCAATCTGCAACTAGTTTCCCCACCAGAGCCACCAAAATTTCAGTATTCTTATATTTTTCTTAAAAAATCCTCCTATTTCTTTCGTTTCACAGTGTCCAGCAAACAGCAAAGGGAATGCTGCTCCATACTATCCTTGCTTTCATTCTTCCCTCAATTCATGCTGCTGAACTTGTCTGAAATACTCTTTGCCCGAATAGAGAGGAATAGAATTTCCAAGCTGTTAGAATACTGTCCAGGGCAACCAACCAAGCAAAAGCTTCCACTCTAGGTAGAATGGGATTCCCCCAGACCCCTCCCAGCAGATCCTTTAGTAGAGCCAAGTAGAAAGATTTCACAGTGAACACCCTGTTCTTACACTCTTTCCACTGCAATCCATCCCTGAAGAAGGTGATGCCTTAACTTTCTGTAATTTTTCCAGCAGCTGAATGTATTCTTCTATATCTTGATCCGCAGGGGTCTTCTGAATTTGGGACACCAAACCATCCTATCTCCATTCAACTCAAGACATTGATCAACTTTAATATGATGATCGGTCTACCTATATAGTTTCAGGTACACTTCACAGAGCTTCCCTACTTCACACCACTTGCCCTCCTAAAATCTAATCCTTGACCCATTACCCACCTTGAATCTAACTAGATCTTTGAACTCTTGATTGAACAGCATTATCCTTTTCCAGACTCTCACCCTATAAGAGTTAGAAGCCTCCCTTGACTCCCACCCGAAGCTCACCAGCCCGTACTTCCCAACCACAACTGTCCTCCAAAGAGACTCTCTCTCCCCTTCCAGTCCAAATCTCCATAACCATTTGCCTAACAGGGCCTTATTAAAAGTTTTGACCAACCCACCTTTCTTTTTTGGCCTACATACCTTCACCTAATGAAACTTCT